AATTGTTTTAAAAAGAGTTTTAGCTGCAGAGCGACCAGAATGAAGCAGGTTGGGGCAGCGTGCAACAAAGAATCTGAGCTGAATCCAAACCCAGAATATTGTTCTCGCATGAAGTTAAAGCTCACTGACTCATTAGGAAGTTCATCATAATTAATGATAAATTAAAGTTGGCTAAAGGTGCTAACTAAGTTCAGTCCATCTAAACCATGTTGTAAGTTGTTTTAAATGAGATTTATGCCATGCACTGAGCTGAAATCACAGAGTTTTGACTGTACACAAGTAGAGAGAAAACTGTTAGATGTCAGAAATGCACATTTATGTCTGGTTCTCATCAGTTAGTTGAGGAATTAAAATGCTTGAGATTTTGATTTTGGAGTTTGAACACTCAGTTCAGCTCAGTTTTTTGGTTGAACAAGCTACTAAAATATTAAGTGAATAGCAACAGGGTCATTTTTTCTGGTGTCAGTTGTTTAGAACCTCAATAACAGAGAGCAGAGATAAAACTACAAAGACTGTTCTTTGTGGTGAGAGAACGATCATAAAAACACATCAGTTCTTGGGTAATCTGCAGATTCTTTACACAATTAATTTGTCAGTATTTTGGTAAATAAAATGCCAAACAATAGAAAACGGCCATCAGAACTTTTAAACGCCTACAATGACAACAAATTGTCTGAGTTCAAACCCGAATGTGTTCAGTTTACTATCATGTAAAGTCAAAGGAAAGCCACAGAGGTTGGAATAGCTACACGTTTGGCTTTTTTTTTTTTTAAATCTTAAAACGTGACTCCAATATGTCATAAGTTATTCCAAAATAATCACTTGCAACCTGCTCAGCATGTTTGTATGCAGGTTGTATCAGAGGGGTTTAAGGGGAAACGCTTAAAGGTCCATCTGAGAACACACGTTTTCATCTCGACAAGGCTTTTTGTCTTTGGACAGTTGGACTCTTTTCTTACATGGTGTGAAAAACTGATTCTGAGGTTGAACTTTGAAAACTAACAGCACATGATTTTTTATTTTTTTTAAACTATAAAACACTGTTACAGTCCTCCTTTAACAATCTGGATGAACTCTGTTAATAATCTCCACACTGTTTACACTATATTTACCAGCGCCCTGCATCGTGTTTAGTGTGTTTTAAGTTATCAGTTAAGCAGTTTTCCTCGACAACTCACACTCAGACACACAAAATAATATAACACCCCTTCTCTCCCTTCCTCTCTTTCTACTACGTATAAACAATAAAGGCTGTGATATTGACAAAAGGTAGTAAGTCATGATGTGCAGTCGATTGTGTGAGAAGCAGCTCGTATTGAAATGTGACTTTATTTTACAAAGACAACCACACTTTATTAGTCATTGAGCCACTGAATAAAACTAAGAAACTCTTTTTTTTTTCTTCCAGAATGCTGTAATCATTTCTGGGATGGTACTGTCTTGTTTAAGCTTTCACTGGATTTTGTGTGATAAATATGTAGGGAAAAAAACAACAAAAGGAGTGTTAGATACACAGAAATGTGTTAAATTCCTCCAGAGTCTGTACATCAACAGTTAGTAGTTGCTCTACTTGTGTGTACACATGTTGCCATCATCTTTTTGATCTTGGTGTTGTTGGTGGGGCTTGATTGTCCTGATTTTCAGTCTTTATGACTTTGAATGTTAATATTAATTTTTGGTGAAACAAAACTGGTTGCTATGACGACTTACTCATCACTCTGCAGTATTTCTGTCAATATAAAATAAAGCACTAGTGTATCTTCAGACTCTTACATGTGTAGTTCTGGGACCTCTGACAGTTTAACCTTTGATGATTCATTCTCGTAACTGTTCCATTTATCATTTTTATCTCTTTTTATCTTATCTTACCTTTTATCTATATTATTCTATCATCAATGTTATTGCAAATATTATAGATTTGCAATAACAGTGAGCAAGTTTATATTTTGGCAAAGAAACTGTATAACTAGCAGAATCATGCATTGCAATCATTTTAGATTTAGACTTTTAGTTTTAGTCAAATTATGCTGTGTTGCAGCTTTACAAAGACTTCTCCACTAACAAAAGAAAAATGAGCCAGAAATATTTCTTGCAGTGTTCTTTTTTTAAGCAAATAGGGGAACAGTAGGGCTCAGTTCATACAGAGGCATCAAATATGTTTCAATAAGTAGACATACTTTATTTACATTAGGTTTCATAGTAATATCTGAGTTTTCTTTTTTATTCCATAGTAAAATAAGTTCTTATAAGTACTTATTTTTCATCCTTCTTTGTTGAAAATTGTTGCAATAAAAATGTGAAAGCTGCAGTTGAAACACACCAAACTTGACCATTTTAAAAATAATTTTAACCCCATATTGAATTTCTTTAATATAATTTAAGTCCATTTTAAGCCATTGTTTATATCTTTAGGAGACTGTTTTTGAGTCTACATGTTATAAAGTATGAGAGTTTCGTCTCTTTGTCCAGACACTAACAGCAGCCCTCCGGTGCCTCGGTGTCATGTGGTGGCGTAGATTTTGGCTTGGGATGCCAGACATCGTTTGAGGCACCGTCACGATTTGAAGGCTAAAAAAAAAACCCTCCAAGTCTGGAAGCTTCCACGAAGCCGCGATGGAGACGATCACCTTGAACAGCACAGGGTCCGTGGACGCTTTTTTGGTTTCACGCCTCAATTAACTCGCTTCGGCTCCATCTGTCTGGACGCTTTGGCTCGTGTCAGTCTCATGCCGGTCAAATTCTAACTTATCAGATTTTATACTCAAACTGAAGCACTAAGATTTTAGATGTTTGCAGGGAATACATTCGTTTTTGCATTTTCACTGCTTAATCCTACTGTAAAACTAATACATCTATTAATTCTTATTGCCTTCAATAATCATAATAATAATATATAATAAAACATTATGAGAGCTTTGTCTTTATCTGACATTTGGAAAACAGTGATTTAATTAAACACTGACTGAAAAAAAACAAAGAATCCAACAACATGCATTTCCCATAAAGTTCCTGAAACCCTCCTGAGTGGTTCCACTTTCCTGTACATCCTTCAACAAAGGATCACTGTGCGCGCACAGATGGAGACCCACGCTGAAACCAGGACAAAAAGGATCCTAACTGAAGCCTCTCTCGGACTTTTTTTTTTTTTTGTCTTATCTCGAAGGGCCAGCTCCCAGACTGGACTTGATGGCAGTTATTTGGGGCCCCATGGGGCAGGGCGCGTGCAAAACCGTGCATTTGTAATGCTTGACAAAAAAAAAAGAGAGGAAGGTTCAAATCCCTCAGTGGGGGCAGCTTGTGATCGAGGACCTTTACTAAAAACGATGTGGGGCTCCTGTTTGAGCGGCATATATCTGGTTTCAAATGGGTACAACTCAGCTGGAATTTAGTAGATATCTCAAGAGTGCTTTTTTTCTAAACAGTTCCATGCGCAATATTTGTTAGAAATGCAAATATTTGGTGTGTTCGTTGATATTCAGCACAAAATAAGCTCCTAGGAGTATAGAGCTTAGATCTTCTTTTAAATACTAACTTGATTCTTCTTTTAAATACTGACTTGTTTTTTAATGCTTTTAGACTCATTTGATGAACTTGTGCAGTGTTTTTTCTTCTCTGCTTGTTACTGACATCGGCTTGGAACAATTGCGCCATTGTATCCAAGCCTCCCCCTCTCCAAAAAAACACACACACACACACAAACGTAGCTGAAGCGCAGCGATGGTGAGGACGGGAGCTGGAGCCTGGATGCTGATGGGAGCAGCAGCAGCAGCAGACAGGGGAGTGGGGGGAGGTGGAGGGGAGGAGGCGGAGGAGGAGGATTCCCATCTGTTGCGCGGTTGTGGCGCGTGCCGAACGCGTGAATCCCACTGGCAGCTCAGAGATGTGTTCAGTAAAATAACCAGCAGCAGAGAAGAACTGAAACTATTTAAATATGTGGAAATAAAAGCTGTTCGGTTAAAGTTCAGCTGGGTCTGTGTTCAATATTGTGTTTGCAGAACTTTAAGGACGAAGCGCAAAAACAAAACTCCAAACGTTGACTGAACCACATCAGTCGTGTCTATCAACGTGTTTTCCATCCAACGTTTGTGTGACGCATATAAATGGGGTGTACACACTGCAGATGCTCTCCTCTCTCTGCCTGTTTTCCAGTCTCCTCCCCCAGAGCTGCAGGTAAACGCCTTGTTGTTGATATTGGAAACAAGCAGCTGACTGAGGGTCCACAAGCAGATGTTAATCCATACATAGCGTGGCTTGGGTATCTGCTTTATTAATTTTAGGAATAGATTAAGCTCGTCACCTCCAGATTCACTCCTCTGGCTTTGTGTTTTGCTGGCTGCTGGATACGCTATCTGAGGTACAAGCACAAATAAACGCGGCGACTTTACGCGTGTATGTGTTCATTGTTTTCATTTATAAGTTTGGAATTGGTCACTTATAGCAGAGCAACTTCCAGATGTCTCTAAAGAAGACTTTTAGCTGATTTGTTCATTAATTTGTGCGTAATTTTCAATGCAACAGTGAACAGAATCATAAACAATGAACTTCTACATTCAGATTATTAATTTACTATATTTATGTGCAAATCTGTGGAAAAAGGCGCAATTTTCACTGTAGTGAATTACAACATATCCAGAAATATCTACTTGTGCTCCGTGTTCAGGAAAACACCACCGTTATAAGTCAGTGCGTAACTAGATCTTGGAAGAACGTTAAAGCGTTAATTTTTAAATAAAACGCAACACTATCACGAAACTCCGCATACCAGCGTATAGACGCAGGGGCCCAGAGGGACCAGATGGCGCAGACAGGACCTCTACTCATCTCCCAAAGGCATCGCCCCCCCGGTGTCAAACCCAGCGCACAATGGCTTGTGTTCCCTCCCCTCTGACGCCCCGGAGCCACATAAATAGGAGGCTCTCCAGCTCTGCGGCACACTTCAACTCAGCCGCTCCCAGAGCAAGTATCTCCCCTCCACAAGCACAACAACAAGCAGAAACGAAATGACTCCCAGCATCAGTGCTGAGGCCAGCCAGCCTCTCCCTGCCAGGTCCACCGTGGCCCAGAGAAAACAAGCCAACGAACTCAGAAAGGTAAGGAAAAGAGAAACTGCATCACTGTGTGCTTTACTGGTTAAGTTTTCTGATTTTATTCCACTAAATGTGCAGCTGAATAACGTTTTTTCATTATTTTTTTTTCAGACTCTGAAACCCTTGCTGGAGAAAAGAAGACGTGCTCGCATCAATGACAGCCTCAATCATTTGAAGAGCCTCATTCTGCCCCTTGTTGGCAAAGATAACGCACGTTACTCCAAACTGGAGAAAGCTGATATTCTGGAAATGACCGTCCGCTTCCTCAGAGACCTGCCTTCCTCCCCAGTCAAAGGTGAGCATCATCTCCACAATACCTTGTGCAAAAAAATCTCTTATTACTTTCACACATGCTTCATATGAAATTCCAGTCACTGACCAGATCTCTTCTCTCTCCAGACTCCGCAGACAGTTACAGAGAAGGCTACAAAGCCTGCCTTCAGCGCGTCTCCGCTCTGCTTCCCAAAACAAGTCTGGATCAAGACGCGTGCCAGCGGGTCAACGACTTCGTGCAGCAGTCCATGTCTGCCACAGTCACCCCAACCTGCCTGAACTGCTGCGCTCAGAGCTCCAGGACTTTGCCTCAGATCCAGCAGAGACTCCTGAGCCTGAAATCCAGCTTCAGCTCCAGACCGGAGATCCAGTCCCGCAGCAGCGGCGCAGTGGCTCCCAGCAGAGCGCAGTCAGGCCCGCAGCCCGTCAGCGCTGCGATGTGGAGACCCTGGTAGATTAGATGGACACTTGACTCATGTGTTATTTATTTTTGCGATGTTTTTATTGTCATTTGTATCTAAATAATGTTAGTCTCAGCATATAAGAAGAAGAATTGTTGGAGTTGCTGTTTATTTATTTAATTCAGCATTTGACTCGCTTTGCGTTTAATGCCAGAAGGCACGAGCACAGATCTCCAAGAACCTGAAGTCTATGAGCTTTTTAAAAATGCAATCCTCTTTGGGGTTTCAGAGATATGGGTTGTAGATAACACTTTTGTAAAACCCCAAGGGTTATTTGGTTTGAGGTTTGCACGATGGACTTAAAAGTATTTTGGTCTGTGCAACAGAATAGTCTGTAAACACTGTGTGTTGTAGGATTATATTGATTCACTCATTTGAGGAAAAAAAATGTGACTTTTTTATTGTTTTTTCATTGACAAAAGATTTTCAATAAAAGTTCTTTGAAAAAAGATGTTCGTGTTGTCTGATCTTTGGTTTCCTGAAGGATGTCAAATTTATTCTTAACCTAAGACCTTCACGAGAGGATTCTCAGGGAGGTGAAAGGAACGAAAAAGGCGCGCAAACGCACGAAGCCACAGGTCATCCAGAGCCATTGATGCTGCTGAGCAGCTGCTCTATTGTTGCTGATGTGAGGCGCCTCTCTGGTTGCCGCCAAATTTGTGGGAAGAAGCTGCGTCGACTGTGTGATCGGAAACACTGAGATTAGTGAAGCCGTGAGCTACAAAGAAAGGTCTGGCAGAACTCCAAAAACAGTAATGACACAGCATAGCCTCACAAATCAACCCGTTATTACTGCAGTATGATGACAATTAATACAATGAGGTTTGGTAGTTTTTCTATGTATCCCAAATTTACCACTTTAACTAAACACTATTGGAAACTAATATACTGATGTCTCATGTGTTTATTATTCATCCTATATGTAAGATTCTACAGCTTTCTGTGCACAGTTTTCTTTTCTTTTCTTTTCTTTTCTTTTCTTTTCTTTTCTTTTCTTTTAAAAAACCCATTACAGGTGCTTTGATTTGCTGGATATAACGCATTTGTGCATGCTTAAACCCAATAAGTTTAATAAGAATATTATTAGAGTAATAGTGTATACTGTTAGTTGACCAACAAAATGAATTTTCATCAATACATTCTCCATTCTTTCTAATAATGACACTCCAATATGACTTTATAACTCCTTATTGAATGCTGAGCAATAATGACCTGTACCTGTTCCAGTAGCTGAGTTTATAAAGTATTATTTTTTGTGGTGTTTTTAAAACTTTGTATGACTTTGTTTTAAAATCACCATAAAGCTGGATGGATGCTCAAAGAATGGAAACATACTGTCTGTAAATTGGTAAAATACACGTTTGAGAAAATTAAGCGAGTTTATATCAATATCAAGAAGTTCTTCTGTATAGAACTATGTTGGGATAGAGGATAGAGAGTGGTCATTTAAAGGAAAAGATAAATACCAAACAAACAGAAAGACACACATGCAACTCAGAGGTACAGTCCAAATGCTTGATCTACATTCATTTGCGGAAAATAAAGTAAATTCTCTTCAGATTCCTGCAGAAATCACATTCTGTTAATACTCTGTTAGAACTGGAAAAGACAAATCGCTTTTGAAAAGAACCAGTTTACTCTGATTTTAATTGTTGAAAGTTCAGGGGGGTAAAACATGGTGTAATAAGTAGAGATCATATTGATAGAACTGACTGATAGAATTGATTTTGAAAACTCACATCTGACAGCTTAACAAATGCATGAGACCACCTGTCTCATTTGTTAAGAACTATGTATATGTGTAGACCATCAGCATCATAAAGTGCTTTAACTCACACTCAGCTCTCAACATTTGACCATTTGGAACATGAATGAGGAATTTCTAACTGAATTCACCTTTTTATAACCAAATTTGAGCCAGCTCATAGTCAACCATGAAAACAATTTTTTTCTGTCCAGGAATGCAAGTAAATGACTATAAATAGACGTCTTAATCAAGAAATAATAATGTGCTTTACTATTTTTTTCATTTTTTTTGTAAAACAGTAAAACTGAAAATTCATGGATAACAATAATAATTATATTTTCGTATTAAAAATGTCATTTTGGTTCGAGAAACATTAAAAAATGATTTAGGTAATTAACAATGCTGTTAATTTAAGGCAGCTGTGGCATAAACCTTACATTGGGTGGTGGTCTAATACATTTGTAAAGCACTGTTTGTTCACTATATTTCACGTGTTTCGTTTAAGTTGATCAGATATGAAGATATTGAGGTTGTTTTTCTATCGATGGAATATGTGTGTTGCTGCTGTGTGTTTTGTTATTAGGATTGTGAGTATTTGTTTCATGATGGCAGATGTAGGAATGTGTTAGAAAATGTAAATGAAATGTTAAAATAAGATTTAGGCATCTCATAAAGTTAATGTTTGTTGTTTGCTGTGACAGGACAATGTTGTGATGGGAGGGGAACTTGTTGTGATCTTAGATTTTAGACAGCAACTAGCTTTATTCACTTGAAATTTGGATCCTTGAGTTTTAGTTAAAGTTGTTTGGAAACTTTGACAATATCCTGCTGTGGTAGTGCAGCAGGGAGGCTAAAGAGAGCAGAGATTCATTTCCTAATCTCTGTTACATTTCAAGAATTATCCAACATCATGGTTTGGAATATAAGAAACAAACTATCTTCATTATCTTACTGTCCTGATTACTTTGTCTTAGGTTTGATTTTCTGACTGTACAGCTACAAATGCAACGTATCCCTCGATTAGGCGTTGAGGAGAGAATTGCTCAGTCAAGTGTCCTCTTTGTGAGTACACTTAGAAAGTATTCTGGTTTTCCATGTAGACAATCTTTTCTGGCCCTGTGATAGACTGGTGACCTGTCCAGGGTGTCCCCTGCCTTCGCCCTGAGTCGGCTGGGATAGACTCCAGCCCCCCCGCGACCCTAGTGAGGATTAAGCGGTGTATAGATAATGGATGGATGGATGGACAATCTTTTCTTAGCACATGTTTAATCTAAGAGACGGAGGACTGAACCTAGATTCATCATTCTGTTCAGGTAAAGTTTATATGAGGCCTTAGTTATCAGGTGATAAATGTCAGTCATTTTAAATTCCCTCCTTTTTGTTTTCATGCACACCCGTTTCATTTGTCCAACTCTGGCTGCTGAGCCCTCATAAACACCAGCTGAACTTCAAAATCTGTTGCACAGAAATGGATTAGACTCTGTCCTCCATCTCATATAAGCCAGTTATATACAACATAACTCTGAATACTTCAGTATTCAGTTTACAGGAAGAAAAAACATTTTTTTTGATAGTTCATTGTTATTTATCATAAGAAAATGGCTATTTGTAAATATTGTGCTGCTGGTTGAACAAAAGAAGCACTTGCAAGATGCCTTATGATGGTGCTTTTCACTAATTTATTGATCATATGATGATAAAAACCTGAAAAAAGTGGCGTATTTTGATACTAATGACTTGAAAAAGTAAACTAGGATTAATTGTACAGTTGTTGAACTAGTTAAGTTGCACTGGCTTGAAAAACCAAGAACAACCCTTTTAAGAACACTGATTTTCTTTCTTTCTTTCTTTCTTTCTTTCTTTCTTTCTTTCTTTCTTTCTTTCTTTCTTAGTAACAGTTTGAGGCTGATAACAGCTGAAAACCAGCTTGTAAACTTGACCTTACCAAAGACTAAGCTACTCAGTATATAAATATAAACCATCTACATACGTTTGAAGTGCATCTACATGTTCTACACATGTACAAATATTTGAATGTGTATGTGAGGATTGCTGTGGTTGTTCTTAAATACAGTGTTAAGACTAGAGTTGTGTTACTCCTGTTGAGATTAAAATATGTGTAAGTGGACAAATCATGGATTGAGTGGGCGCTTGTTGGAGTCTTGGGACACATTCACCATCACTGCATTGACGTTTTTGCAGACAAGCGGTGGTAAAGAGTGGGAGCATGAGAAGAAATTAGTAGCTGCAAGGATGCAATGATGATTAAAAACAAAAGATTTCATGACTGTTAGTGACTGTGCCTTTATCTGTAGTTGTTTGCTAAAGAAAAGGGAATCTGTGCAACATAATGTGATGTTACCATCATTTTCAGGTGGCTATAAACCACAAATGTCTGCTTGACTGTAAGAGATAGAACAAGGCTCAAGCATAATCTATGTTGTTGGAAAACTCATAGAAAAAGTGTGAGGAGGTCTACCGTCTAACCATTCGCAGGAAAACACGTTTTGTCTAAATAGTGATTCAAAGATAAAAATGATTTATGAAAAGGCAGTTTCATGAAAATAAAAAAAGACACTGACAACCAGGATGTTGTGTCTTTAAGTATGCATCACCTTTAGACATGTTTGTGTGTTAAATCTCTATGTTTGATGATTCTTATTATCCCCAAATCATCTGGCAGCAGTCCATGAAGTCATGGTCAATAGAAACTGGTCAAAAGTTTCAGGTAATGTTCTCCTAAAGCATCAGAATGGAAAACATTGGATCTCAGTGACATTCACATGACTAGCTGGTTTGAATATTTCTGAAATTGCAGCTCTAATGGGATTTTCTCTGCAACAGTCTCTAGAGTTTAATCACAAAAAGCGTCCAGTCAGCAGCATCTCCACTGAGTGAAACCTCATATTGATAAACGGGGTCAAAAGATAATGAGCAGAGTAGCAGTAGTAGAAATGTTGTGGTAACTCCAATAATCACTCTGTTGTGACAACGAAAGCGTCTCTGAACAGGCAGCATATCAAGCCATAAGACAGATGGGCTACAGCAGCACACCATAAGGGGTTCCTCTCCTGTTAGCCAAGAACAGAAATCTGAGGCTACTGTGACCACAGAGTCGCTGGAGATACATAAGAACTAGAATTTCACGTACAGTGTATATCAATTTTTAAAAGCAAGGTTTTCCTGAGAAAATAAATAAAAACAAAAGGACAGTAACATTACAGCAAGTGACATCAGACAGTAAAAA